TGGGATGGACACCCTATAGTGTTTACCCAACAGTGTGTGGATCTGGGCCACACAATACAGAGGGGCAATGAGTTGGGACTAGAATTTTCAAAAAGAGGAGACGAATGATCTAGATTGCTTTTGGGAAATCATAAAACACTTCTACTGAACCAAATGCCATGAAAGGAAAAGCCTATCTTTTTAATACTAACATTTTATCCATGTTTCTCTATAACAGTGACACCCAAAACACTATTCCCTTTAAAGAACTAAAGATGGACATCACCCGGAAGGCACTAAAGGGGCATATGGTGGGTGTGAGCATGTTGTAACATGTAACCAACAGGGAATACTGAAGAACAGGAGAAAAGAATGTTACCAAGGAATCATATAACATGCAGAAAAGATGGGTTGGTCACATGGTGAAAGTGAGGGATGACAAGTAGGAAGAAATCTAGGAAGACCTTTGCTACATTGGATAAACTTTCGGAGGAGGACATGGATGAGTGCCTAGGGGCAGGCATGGATGGGTGGCTATCTGAATTGTAAGAGGGAACATATTTATTGATCTGTGATCAACAAAATCGTAGATCTTTTGGAGTATTGAGTAAAAGAATTTTTATTCAGTTTTAAAAGAAGTAAGACTTTAAAAAAGTATTTTAAAAATTAACTTAATTTCCAGATCCAATTCAGGATTTTCGTGTACTTTGGGACAGTTCTAGCTGAATTTGGAAATGGGCTTGATTCAGGATACGGACATTAATTCTAGAAAACTAGATTGTCAGAGTTGCGAGTAATCCTAGGGTCCATCTACTCTATTCATCTCATTGTGCAGGTGAAATAACCTCCTCAAGGTCACATAACTAGTTAATGACAGATTGTTGTCCTATCATTTTAGTCATATCTGACTCTCCATGACTCCATTTGGGATTTTCTTGGCAGAGATACTGGAATTGTTGCCATTTCCTTCTCTAGCTCATTTGACAGATGAGGAAACTGAGGCAAACAGGGTTCAATGACTTACCCAGGGTCACCCAGGTAGTAAGTGTCTGAGGCTAGATTTGAATGCAGATCTTCCTGATTTAAGACCCAGTGCTCTATGCATGTTGGTGACACTTAGCCGCCCCAGTTAATGACAGAACTGGGACTCAAAACCAGACCCACTGAGGGAGATAGGGAAACACAATGGAGTCAGAGGACCTGGGTTAAATTCTGACCTCTGAGTCTACCTAGGTAAACTTGGTAAGTCACTTAAACTCCCTGGGCCTCAGTTCCTTTATCTGACCCAAAAAGTAACCCAAAGTTATAGAGTAGGAATCAATCTGAATTTGGGGAGGGAGTTTACTTATATTGAGGAAACCCCAGGTTTGTGCCAAAACACCCAACTACTAATAATCTATTATCGATTATAGCTTTTTGCAACGTATAAAGTACTTTTTATTTCACCACGAAAGTCCTGTGAATCCAGCAGGTCAGTTATTAATACTCCCATTTAATGGATGAGGCAACTGAGGTGCTGACAGGTGGAATTGACCTGCCCATTGTCATTCAGCCAGGAAGGGGCAGAGCCAATCAGTCAATCAATCAACATTTATTAAGCATCTTCTCATGCCAGGCACTGGGCCAAGCCAGAATCCAGACTGGGTCTTCTAACTGCAAGTCTGGCCCTTTTCTCAATGAACCATGTTTTCTGTTCTTGTGTGCTTAGGAGAGTCGAAGCTCTGTTCTGGAGGGCTCTCAGCATCTCCATGTGGTTAGTGGGAAGGAGCCAAGGAAGCTCCCTGAGCTTGTTGGAGGTGTCAAGGATCTTAGAGCTTGTCAGAATGAGGCCGCTGGACTACATGAGCTCTAAGGTGTCTTACACATCTAGATGTGTGATGCTATTAGTCTGAACACCTTGATTTACAAATGAGGAAATGATGAGGCCCAGAGAGGGGTATATACCTTGACAAATGTCACATTGCTCTTTGAGTTGTGATTTGAACTCAGGTTGCCAGACTCTCAGCCAAGTCCTGTTTTTACTACACTAAATTTTTACTCTACCAGTTCCTAAAATTAGTGTTCCAAGCTCTTTGATGTGAAGAGTGAGGACTCATGGCATCCTAGGAGTTGTTCCAAGAGACTCAAACACTTTGACTCAGAGCAGGAGGAGAACTTTGAATAACAGCTGCACTGCACAGCCAGTGCCTGCAGATCTGGGACAAGCTATGTCTCCCTAACGGCACTTCAGGGAACTGGAGCTGGCCCCAACCAACGGGCCCAGTTATCTCCACCAGCCCAACCCAACAATGGGCAGAATGAAGATAGACCACAACATACTGCCACTGAAGAATATCACAGACCTTTCCCTTCCCCAACAAATCCTCCTGGCTCCATTGCCCAATTCATGCCAGGTACAGGATAGCCACTGTTAGGTTCTGACTCTAACATCTCTATTCCTATTGGAAGTATCCACTCCACTTAAACCCACTGTCTTCCTGATTGGTGACCATCTGTGCGCCCATTACTCTTAAAGGTCTTTGGGGCCTCACCATCTTCTGTGAACTGGCTGTGCATGAATATGCGTCCCTCTTCATGTATTGCTTTCCCCCACTGGAATGTGAGCTTCTTAAGAGCAGGGGCGACCTTAATTTTCTAGTTGCATTTCCTTCTATAACATAATGGACAAATGGTAAGCCTTTTCTTGAAGGTCTCCAGTGAGAGCAAGCCTACCATCTTCTGAGGAAGCCCATGCACTTTTGGACAACTCTAATTGCTAGGAAATGATTCCTTAAAATTAGCCCAAATCTACCTCACTGTAACTTCTATCTGCTGTACCAAATTTGGCTCTCCAGGACCAAATAAAATAAGTCCAATCTCGCTTCTGTGATTATGTATGTCTTCAACATGTTACATTGATCCAAGGCTAGAAAAACTATTGTTTCACATGATTTTAGGGTAACGGTGTCAGTTTTTAAGAGGACACACAAACTAACTAATCAATCCATCACTCAATGAACAGGCATTTCTCCAAAGCCTACTATATGCCAGTCACTGTGCTAAGTAGTGAAGATACAAAGACAACAAATGAAAGTGACTGATCCAAAGATTTCACATTCTAATGGGGGAGATAACACATACGGAAGATTTCAGTGGCAAATCAGGTGGAAAGGTCCCCTGGTCCTTTGGGCGAAGCTACAAAGCAGATATTAATGCCTCTTCTTTAATGCCATTTCCACTGATAAAATCATATCAGTTCCTGTTGTTAAAGCATTTGACAGTGCCAAGGACTTTGAGGATGTGAACTTTCCTTTCTGGGTCTTCAGTAGCTGTGGCTATAACACCCTGGTGACCTGTTGCCCTTAGAAGGAGCCTCCTGCCATGATGGTTGAGGGCATTGGGGTGGGAGCATGGCTATTCCTACGGCTCTTAGGTTCGGATCCCTCAGGATCTGAGGGGTGATAGCAGTTAGGGTGGTGGCAATTTGCCTTGCCTGGCATATGCCTCCTCTCGTTTCTCCCTAAGGGTGACCCATTGTTTTAGCTAGGCTAGCCTGTTTGCTCTGGGTGTGGTGGTTAGTTGGCATTTGGTGCCAGTAGAAGATTGAGGATGAAACATACCACTCACCTCCTGCCAGAGAAGTGAGGAATTTAGGGTGCAAAAAGAGACATACCTTTTTGGGCATGAACAATGTGGGAATTTGTTTTGCTGGGCTAGACTACATGTATTGTAATGAGAATTCTGTTTTATATTTTAAAAAAATTGCTGATTTGGGCAGAGGCAGAGAGAGGGACAGATTATAAATCCTTGTAAAAATAAATAAATAAAATGTTAAAAAGGAAAAAAAAAGAGAGAGTTGGGCCAGCTGACCTTTAATATCTCTCCCATGATTTTATACATAATTTTATGAGAGTTTGAAATCACTAGAACCTTCTTGAATCAGTTAGAACTGGACTGGAATTTGAAGTGTTTGTTTATTCTTGGCAAAGTCAGACTCTCTATTTATAAAGCAAGATTAAAAAGAATAAATTATCTCATAAAATGGACTCTGAAAACAAATTCGAGTTAGACTTGGTGTCTTCAAAGGTCCTTTTCAGCACTAAATCTATAATCCTATGAACCTCTTCCCATCAGGGCACGTCATTGGGTGGGAAGAGACATGTTTGAGCTGGGTGGTGTATCACAAGTCATATCTCAAATTAATTCCCCAATTAATTGAGCAGGGTTTGAGATGTTTTGCACCCCTCCTCCCCTAGAGGAAAAAAAAATTAAATCGACTTTTATCTATGCCACAGAAAAATAGAGGTAAGTAGGAAGAAAATGCTATTTCCCACTGATGGGATTATAAGAAAAAAACCCCCAAACTCTTCCAGATGTCTTTGATGTTTCATAATGCCTTGTGATAGATCCTCAGAGGCAGCCATAGAAAGGGTTTTGAAGATATCATTTTGAAATCCCACCTTCTGCTTTCTTTCGCTAATTTTGTGTTTTGCCTCACAACGGACATGCAGATCTCCTCCTAGCAGATGCTTGGAACTCTGTTAAATTCCATTTTACTTATTATAATAGAATCAAGAGGCAACATTTGTATGGTTTACTTGGGGATCTTTGGAGAAGTGATTCTGGGTAGTACAGAGGGAGAAGTCTGCATCAGGTCCCCATCTCATGTGTTGTTAGTGAGGGTGCCTCTCCAGCTGTTGGGAAGGGCACCCATAGAGTCACCCCTTGTTAAAACAAAAGGTCTTGGAGAGGAGAATACTACTGGATCAAATGGATCAAATGGGCAACTTTCCATTAATAATACAGCCAAATTCCATTATTGGGTAATGGAAAGGGCACTGGATATATGCTCAGAAGGATTATATTCTTACCAGATAGAATTGTAGCTCCCTGAGGGGCAGGGACACTTCAGTTTTTGGTTATATCCTAAAGCTTGTGATATAATAGGTGCTTAATAAATGCTTCCTGATGGACTGATTAATTATATCGAATCCCCCCCCCCCATTTAATTATTCTGTGTAAGAGATGGTACCTGAGATGTGTTACTTTGAAGCGAGCTAGGGATCCTTCAGGATAGAGATGAGGAAGGGATGCAGGCTGGACTGGGGGAGCCCTTGCTTAAAACATGAAGGTTGGAGGTGAAGCATCATACAGGTAGCAGCCCATCTAAATGAGACAGGAGATAATGTAAGAAGGGGAATAACATTTGACAATTATTAAAGTCTTACTCTGTGTAAGGTATGGGAAGGTGGAAAATGACAGTCCTTGATTTCAAGGGATTTATAATCTAATAAGGCAAAAGTTCCTAATCTGTGGACCAAGGACCTCCAGAAAATTTTGGGGTTATTGGAAACAGTCTACAAATTCATAATTACACAAAAAATGCCTCTATAGACTGTCCAGGTGATGTTTTGCACATATGCTCACATGGCTATTTTTCAAATGGATCCAGTTATTACAATTGACAAAACACTGGTCTGCTGGTGAGTATCCACTGTACTCATGAAATATGGAGAATAAGTCTCAAAAAAGGAAAAAAAACAAAATAAAATAGATTTTATTAATATCTCTTATGTTTATATTCCCTAGATTTTCCCATAACCTCTCCCTCCCTGTCCTAGAGAGCCATTCCTTATAACAAAGAATTTTTAAAGAGGGAGAAAAATTTTCACTATTATTATCAAAACCGATTAACACATTAAAAAAAGATCTGACTTTCTATGCAATGTTTCACACTTGTGAGATAGTTAATTTTAAACCAAGAGAGCACAATTTCAGGAAGGTGACCTTAGGCAGTCATCAGAGCATTATTGGAACAATGTCTGTGACCCCAGCACCATGTAGGTGACATTTGACACCTGATGTGACCTTTTGGTGTTAATGAAAGGAAAACAAAGCTGGACTGTATGATCTGGAAGCTGTATCTTCTTTCCCATGGGTCTCAACCGAGGCAGCCACATCCCTCTGTGATAGGTAACCTTGGAGGAAGCTGCTGTTCTCACTTTCCTTTAGGGGATAATCAGAAGATTTAGAAGGGGCATAATATTTTGAAAAGCTGTCATGTGAAAGAAGGATTAGATTTTCTCTGGTTGGTCCCAGAGGGCAGAGCCAGGACCAATGGAAGAAGGGGGTGGGGAGGAGTTCCAGAGAGGGAGATTTTAGCTCAATGGGAAGAAAAGAGAATCTAATAATTAGAGTTGTCCAGACTAGACGGGTGGAGCTGAAGGTGTAAATTTTGAGTCGTTGGACATTTTCAATGAGGACCTGATTTGTCAGGAATGTCGGTGCTTCCAATAGGGGTGAGACTAGAGGACACATAAGGTGCCTTGCTCCTCTGGGATCCTGAGATTTTAGGAGCTATGAAGCTGAGCTGTGAAGGATCTGGATAGAGATGAGAGAATAATAACAATAGCTGACATTTATGTAACGGTGTAAAGTTTGCAAAAACTATGCAAATAGTATCTTATTTGATCCTCATAACAGCCCTTGGAAGTAGGTGCTATTATTATCCATATTTTACAGATGAGGAAACTGAGGCAAACAGAGTAGCTTGTCCAAAGTCACACAGCTAGTCAGTGTCTGAGGCTGAATTTGAACTCAGTTCCTCTTGACTCCAGACCTGGCACTCTAACCACCTCGATACCTAGCATGATGGGAGAATAGATGGAATAGATGATCTTAAAGGCTCTTTCCAGCTCTAAATCTATGGTCCTGTATAGTCCTATGAGCCAATGATCCTCTGATGGTGGCTCTGGTGGGGGGTGGTTAATATCAAGCAAGGGAGCTTAGACTCACATTTGGAATTTGGGGATTCCCCCTCCACCCAGATGGAAGGGCCAGGTTGTACTTGTCACTGCCAGTCCCTTGCTGTCTTGCTGACTTTCTGAGAGGCATAGCTCAGCCATCTGCTCTGATTATGATCCTTTTCCAAGACCTAGGATAGAGGGGTAGCCCAATCTAAAATCCCAGAAAATTTGGATCCATAAAACCCATCTGTTGCAGAAGAGATTTAGCATCTAAGGGAAATATAGAGCAATGCATTTGAAGTTAGGAAGGCCTGGGTTCGAATTTCATCTCAGGTACTTACTAGCTGTGTGACCTGGGACAATTCACTTAATCTCTCTGAGCCTCAGTTTTCTCTTCTCTAAAATGCGGATTATAAGAACTCACAAGGTTGTTTTGAGGATCAAATAAGATAATTATGCATAAAACACTGTCTAAACGCTGGCTGTTAGCTGTTATTTCAAGGAAATCCCTTCACTAATGCCGCTGCTGCTTGGTACATGGGTGAATCCATACGTCCAACCCTCACCCACAGAGAGGCAAGGATTTGGTCTAGCCCTCTCATTTTACAGATGAGTAAACTGAGGCCGAGGGAATCAGACACACAGGTCATGTCTGAGGCAAGATTGGAACACCTGTTCTCCAACTTTGCGCCCAGAGCTTTTTATATCGTGCAGCACTGTTCATCCTCCTGCAAATGGCTGGCAAGGGGGAGGAGTGACATGAGGCAGGGAGAAAGGACTTAGTGTCTCTCTGAGAAAGACTCACTAGCATAGTTCTGTGGATATACAGACAGTCTTGAAGAGTAGACCCCTCTAAATATCCAGTTGTTGTGCAATGGAAAGATTATTGAGTGTGGACTCAGTGGTGCAGTGCATAGAACAGAGGGCCAGGAGTCAGGAAGACCTGAGTTCAATCCAGCCTCAGACACTTACTAGCTGTGTGACCCTAGGCAAATTACTTAAGCTTGTTTGCCTCAGTTTCTTCATCTGTAAAATGAGCTGGAGAAGGAAATGGCAGACCACTCCAGGATCTTTGCCAAGAAAACCCCAAAGAAGTTCATGGAGAGTTGAACTTGGCTTCAAATTCTGGGTCTTCCACTTGTCCTACCTGTGTGAGTTTTGGTGAGGCATATAATCTTCTTCCACTCACTCTCCTCCTCTATAAAAATTAGTTGGTTCAACTACTTGTCTTCTGAAGTTCTTTCCAGTTCTAGATTTATATGATTCTCTGATTCAGTTTGCTGGTAAGTCTATCAGTCAGTCTGTGAGGTGGCCTATCTATTAGGGAGCCAGTCAATGAGCTGAGCCGTTAACCAACATTTAGATAAATGCACTGCCCTACTTTCAGATGTTCTGCAGAATCTATTTTCCTTGTCACAAACAACTGAGACCAGGGAAGGGTTTCCTTGATGCCTCCTTTCCCTCCATGTAAATGTTTGACTCCACACCTGAAATCCTGCTCATGCAATCAGATCATTTCCCCATTCGCTGTTCTAATTGATATTAGCTGTTGACATTTTCTACCTTTTCCTTTTGGTGACGGCATAGCTTGTAAATGACATTGTGGCATTGGGACAAGGGGATGGTGATAACTGATGAACTTGGTTTGGAGCCCCCAACTCCTGGGCAGCTTTCTGGGAACAGGGTCATGGCTGACTGCTGGTAACTGGGGGCTCTGCCAGAGTTGTTGTCTCATGGGGGAGGCTCCATCAGGCAGTGAGGGGGCTCAGCTGGGAGAGTCAGGCATGATTCGGAGGGTGTGGGATGAACGAGGAGAGTGAGGATAGCTTCCTTGGAGACATGAGTTACTTACACCTCCAGAAATTAGAGCACACTGACTTCACTGGTGTCCTGGCTCGGCACCAAGGGCAGATGGACACTTAATAAATGCTAGGGTATCTGATGAGGGGGTAGGCTGCATATGGGCAAACTAGAAGACTGTGAGAACATTCTCTTTCTCTCCCCTCCTCCTTGTCTCTTTCCGTGTCTCCTGGCCTCATTTTTCTCCCCTTAGACCAAGTACAGACACTCAGAGAGGGATGGAGCTAGTCATCTGTGATATCTTCTTGGCTCCCTTCAGCAATAGCCACAGGCTCACGACATCTGTTTTAAAGCTGGAAGGGACTTCAGAGGTTATCAGATCTAACCCTGTCATTTTATTGTTAAGGAAACCGAGGTAGACAGAGGTTAAGGTAACGCAACTAGTAGGTGTCTGAGGCAGGATTTGAACCCAAGTCTTCCTGACTCCAAGTCCAATGCTTTAGCCTCCATACCATGCTAAGATAGATACCAATCCAGAAAGGCAGTGTGGTATAGGAGAAGGCAGAAGGGAAGGGAATAAGTATTTATATAGCACCTACAATATGCTTATATGCAGACACTGTGCTAAGTGCTTTTTAATTTTTTTATAATTATCCCATTTGATCCTCACAAGAACTGTGGGAGGAAGGTGCTATTATTACCCTCATTTTGTTATTGTTGTTGGGTAGTCATTTCAGTCATGGCTAACTCCATTTGGGGTTTTCTTGGTAAAGATAATGGAGGGGCTTGCTGTTTCCTTCTGTAGCTCATTTTTTAGGTAAGAGAACTGAGACAAACAGGATTAAGTGACTTGCCCAGGGTCACTAGTAAGTGTCTGAGGCTGGATTTGAACTCAGGAAGATGAGTCTTCCTGACTCCAGGCTCAGCACTCTATTTATTTCACCCCCTAGCTGCCCCATTTTGCAGTTGAGGAAACTAAGGCAGACAAAAATTGAGTGACTTGTCCAGGGTCACATACCTAGTAAGTGTCTGAGGCCACATTTGAACTTAGGTCTTCCTGACTCTGGGACTAGTGCTCTATCCACTGCGCCATCCAGTTACCTCTGCATCTATTCCTTAGTTGTAAATGTTCGGTGTTCCTTATTCTTTCCTTTCTTCTCTGTGTCAAGTTTTTCTCCCCTACAGCCTCCTAATGTGGGTTACCACCTTTTCTTCTTTGTTTTTGTTTTGAAGAATGCTTTCTTTTCTTTCAAGAAGTACTCTATGTACTATGATAACTTGGAATAAGAGTAAGGAAACATATCCCCAGGGGTTTCACCTTAGAGGGAAGCCAATCTAAACTTTTGGGATACATTGCTGGTATTTGTAACTTAAAGAAATAAATACATCAAACATTCTATGCAAGTATTTTAAAGATTCTTTGCCTATCATCCTTACTAAGAGGCTCATTCATCTTTTTAAAAAGTTTAATCAATTTTTTTCACTTCACAAAAGCTATTTTCTCTCCTTCTCATCTCCCTCCAACCCCAGTGGAAAAAAAAAAGTAAAAAAGAAAAAGAAAACTTGGAACATATCTATAGACAGAGATCAATAAAGATGGGTCTAGTCAACACAACTGCA